GTGATGTAATGTTATTAAAAAAGCTTAAATTCTCCTTATCATTGTTACATGCATGTTTACTGTACATGGATAAAATATTGTCAAAGCATGTGAGAAAATGAAGCCATTGTTTGCCAGCTGAAAGATATTTTTTTTGCAAAATTGTTCAAGTTTTTTAAAGAAGAGAAGATGACTTCTGTAAGATTGATTCATGTTGGACTTTACTGTTTGACTCATTAGTGCCTCTAGCGTTTGGCCATGGAACTGCRYCCACCATCATTGATCTCAGGCAAAGGACAGATGAGTGMCAGGACAGGGGCACTTCAGGGGGCCAGTCAGATTTCAGCAGGGGCCAATGCCCCAGTGGCCCCACCCCTGGAACCACCACTGGGAGGAGCTGGTATCTCAAGTGGTCATTGTGCGAGAGGCGGAGCTAAACTCTGGACTAAACAGGTAACATCAAATATGYCCTTCTAGTGACCTTATTTTCAAACTTTCAAATTTCTCTCTTAAATGGGTAAAATGTGTTTTATTCTAATTWAATTTTCATACCTAACCTTCTGTAAACTCATTAACACATTTAGATRAATAAGGTCCAAATTATGAAGTCGTAATCCACACCTTTAATTTACAGAAAATAAGAAGATATTTGTGTAACACTTATTCCAACAAAAGGAAGGACTACTTAAAAATTAAATACTGATAATTAATCGCTTTTTTTAGTGACATACTAATTAGGTAAAACACTAAAATGGTCCTTGAAATTTACGGTACGTTTGACACAGATTTAAAAATATTTCTCTCATTTCTGAGCAGAACTGATGAACAATAATCATCTGGAGAACAACAAAACTGAGAGCAGAGTCAGAGGGTTTAAGAACAACATCAACAACAAAATAAAATAGAATATTATAGTTTACGTTGAGCTGGAAAATCCTTGTCATAATTTCCTTCTGGTGTGTTTTTGCAGGAGTCGCTGGTGTGCAGCGTTACCCTAAGTAGGTCAAACTCTCTGTAAGAACTCTACAAACTTTCCATCGCCGACGCCTTCACAGCACCAAGGGCGGGGGAGAGAGGAAAGAAAAAAAAAAACAATGCACTTGTCACAAACTTGACACCTTTCTCCTTTTCCGGAGGAGGAGAAGGTGAGGAAGAAAAGAAGAAACTCCAAAGGAGCGTTTCATTGTTCTGAAGTTTGCCTCGCTTTTTGCTTTGCCTATCGCTGCCACTGAAATCAACACTCACCTTTCCAGTGACAACCTGGAAAATTGCCAGACATTAAGGGGGACGTGCACGGGGCCCGGAGTGTGCACGTGGATGCAGGGTTGTTGTTTGTGTGGGGAGGTATGGCGGGGGGTGAGTGTGTAATGTCTGGTCCCAGCGGCAGCAGGCAGGATGCTAAAATAGCTCCCCGCTCGGCGCAGGATGGGGTGCCGGTTAAAAGGGTTTTTGCAGCTCGGTGAAAACAGGCGCAGGTTTGTCTTCGGGGACCCCGTCACAAGGCGTGGTGAAATGATCGGAGCTCGATTAAACCTGCTGCGCTCTCACACGAAATGATCCCTACAAGAACAGCTGGAGGGACACAAAGCTAAATCCCAAACGGAACAGAAAACTCTCCCTCTTTGCGTTTTTATCCTTTTCATAATAAAAGARTAAAAGCTTGTTGCTCACGTCCAGAGTTTGTGTGAAACATGCAGCATGTAAAGTGGAGAAAACAGCCAAAGCCATCTGTCACAGCTCATGTTAGAGCTGTAACACCTGCATGAGGAGAAGCTCACGCCTGGAGTGAGATTCACATGTGGGCTCTAACCTGAGGAGCAGCTTCTCCCACTCCTCTGCTGCTCTGMTGGCACAAAAACACCAGAGATAATCACTGCTGCAGCAAATGGTTCATGTCAGGAAAGATGTCTGACCTGCTGCCTCTGAAACGTTGCCTCATCCCCCGATGACTCGAAYGCTGCAGGTCTTCTGATGGTTTGCTCAAAGAAATGTGTCCTCACACAGATAGAAACTCTTTACAGAGCAGCACTCGTGCAGACGATCAAACCTGACTGAAACGTGCTTCATAACTCAATTAATAAAAAAGTTTATTTATTTTTCATTTTTACAAAACAAACAAACACTATACAAAAAATACAAATCAAATAAAATGAAAGGCAGCAGAAAGAAGAACCTCTTCCCCAAAAATCAAATAAATTCAAACAATAATTATTTTCAAATAACAAAACATAACCTAAAACTTCAACTCCTTCCCAAACAACAGATCTTATCAACACACATTATTCATATTTCTTCAACAATCTAACTTTTATCATTCTCTTAAACTAATTTATTGAACCAGCCTTTTTATGATCACTTTCCAGATTGTTCTTATTCCATGGACTAAARTACATCAGTCCTTCAAATTTGTTMARATTTTGGRCTTTACAAACAKCTCTAGCCCCTTAAGATTATAATTAGTTACTCTCTTAACAAACTTTAATTGGATCGATCAACCAATTCATAACATTTCAATAATTCCGACTGATAAAATAATGTATTTGATGGGTGACAATAAAGGTTTCTAGTGATAATTCTTAAGGCTATTTTCTGTAAAATATAGAAGGGATTTGTGTTTGCTACAGATACTGAGCTTTGGTGAAGAAGTAGCAGAGCACCATCCCCAAAACACTGCAGCACATCTTTGTTTTTAATYATTGCAATCAAAAGTTGATACAACGGACGGACTACATTTTGTACTGATATTTGTGTTTCTTCCTGTTCAAAGGGAGTTTTTCCTCTCCACTGTYGCCAGTGTGCTGCTCAGGATGGGAGACTGTGCTGAAGTGATTCAACACAATTTGCTGTTTCTTTACATTGTCTTTTACAGTGTGAGATAACAGTTGTTGTGACTTGGTGCTATATACTCTATATGTATAAATTGAATTAAATCATCATTGTGTCAGTTTTAGCATGTAAACGAAGGAAGAAAAAAAACAATGGCTTCAAGTACTGGACAAAAGACAAWTGGCAGCACATATGGGGGATTTGTTAGATTCAAGTCAAAATAATCAGCCTCAACCTTAAAGAAAACTTGTTGATCTCTAATTGAAATTGTTATTTGCAAATTATGTAATGCACTGCCAAACAGATGTTAATGAAACATTCAGGAAGTAATCATTAGGTTGAAATGAACATTTTAGAGTCTTAACCGTAGCTCAACTTTTTATTTATTCTTATTTTTTGATGATGCATATTTTGTTATATTTACGTAAATATTTTGATGTATGTATATGTGGATAGGCATGTATGTATGTACGTACGTGTATGTATGTACGTGTATATATATTTATAT